TTTATGAGGTTTACTTTAGGTGTGTACTGACTAATGTTGTTATACGCAGGAAAAATCATTAAAAAAGAAATTAACAAAGAAGAAAAGAAAGAAACCACTAAAGCCCCAAGAAGATGTAAAAGATGAACAGACAGTGAGCAAACATGAAGCAGAGGATTGTGATGAACAAACAGTTCAGAACAGAGAGCAAGCCAGCACTGTCCTCCTCCCACCAAAGAAGAACAAACCAAAAGGCAAAACAAAGAGCAAAGAAGACCCTCTGCATGTGCCAGAGGTACCCAGCCATGAAGATAACAAAACACACAAAGGTAGAACCATTCAAATAATGCAGACCAGTTTTATAGTTTTGTTGAATTGATTGTGAATATAAATCTTATCTTTTGACCAGTCAAAGCAGAAAACAAGAAAAAGAAGAACGTTTCTAAAGTGAAAAGGAAAAACAAGATTAACACAGAAGATTTAGCTCAAACATATTCACAGCCTGTGGACCTTTCCTCAACATTTGGTAAAGTATTTTGAAATATGCAAATCTAGTAGATAGGCTGCTTGATCTCTCTCTTTTTTAAAACAAAATTTCCCGCTTTTTTGATAGATCTCTACAGAAAAGCCATATTGGCCCTGAAGGAACGTCAAGAACAAGGACAAGGATAAAATAAATGTATATATTAAATAATGTGATCCCTGAATATTTGGATTAACCAATGTGTAATGAAGGGACTTTTGTCTGTACAAAATGTGTACTGTGATATAGGACAATAGTTATAAGAACAGTGATGTGTTAGGCCAAATGCATTCTTACATTATGCTTTTGGTGCTATTTTGTAACTACATTAAAAATACCTGTATAAATATTAATGTCCATACTTTTAAATCTAAAAAAAAGTAGCTATGAGGGGTAAGTTGTACTGACTTATTTGCCTTTTGTGGCTGTGTGTCTTTTTCATTTTTTTTTTCAAAATAAATTTCTGTGATAACTTCTTATTTTTTCCTAATTCATTTGTCTTTCAACAGCACAGGTCTTATACTAAAGTTACAGGCACGTGGTCATTTTGCTTGAGAAGTTTCATTTTAAGTAGAAGTCTATGGTTCTTACTATCCTAAAAGAAATGACAAAACATTGGGTAGTAAAACATGCAGAACAAGACTAACCTGAGTACATCTGCGTGTGTGTCTAATAATCTGTTTGTTCTGTGTTTGAGTATTGTGAATCCAGAGGTCTGGTCCTTGTATTCCTTCTCCAGCAGATGGCGCCACTGCTCTGGGTGACACGGGGTACTTGGTTCATAGATTTTCCTCTGTATAGAACAGTCGTCAGATTTTCCCACATTTCATAAGTTTGTTTGAGGAACATGTTTTCTTCTAAATTCTACACACATTACAATATTCACAGATTTATGGAACAGTTTACAGATGTTCTTTTTATTCTAGCAGCAAGAGGCATTTTGGTAATGACTGACTAAATCAAACCTATAAAGATAACTTTAAAGCTACAAAATAAAAGACAGATTTAAGTTGGTACAGTCAATATATTAAAGTGCATATGGCATGTTAACAATTATATTTATGAAGATTTCTAATTGGTTGAACACTGACAGCAGATACAGAGCCAAGATACTAGTTTAAAAGTTTAGTAAAACAGTTTAGAGAGTCAGAAGAGTTAGGGTTAGAACTGTCATTTCACAAGACAAGCCCGAAACAATTTTAAAACATACACAATGGCAATATTAATATGAAATTTAACCTTTAACCCTGTAAAGTTAATACAATGCTTAAACAGAAATGTCAATGTATTTCAAACTGGTTAAAATGAACAGACCCAGTGCAAACCTGTGGAAGAGTTGGATTAGGATACTACTACTAGACTTTCAGTTTAATCTAAGGGATAGCAAGAGAGCCATCAGACTCTATAAAGTAGTCCAAATCTGGCCCACGTTCAGACCAGTTCAGACCAAACCAAATATAAAACATACACACAACCCAAAGCTCAAGTCAGTTTTCAGACCTTTTAAATTCCAAATGAAACTGTTGAAGGGTTAGTTTACAATAAGTAATTTTAGTTTCACCCAACCATAACATGTTTTACCAGCCTGTACCAATCTGACCCACATTTAGACCAGTCGAGGCACACCAAAAACACACAAGGACCCAAGCCCAAGTGCAACCTGTGGAAATTATGGTGTAAACATTTAATCTGGCCCATGTTTAGATCAGATCAGACCAAAAGAGACCAGCAGTCTCCATAAAAGTGTTCAACCAATTAGAAATTTTCATAAATATAATTGCTAACATGCCATATGCACTTTAATATATTGACTTACAAACCTGTCTTTTATCTTGTAGCTTTAAAGTTCTATTTATAGGTTTGATTTAATCAGTCATTACCAAAATGCCTCCTGCTGCTACAATAAAAAGTACATCTGTAAACTGTTCCGTAAATCTGTGAATATTGTAATGTGTGTAGAATTTAAAAAAAAAAACATGTTTCTCAAACAAAATTATGAAATATGGGGAAGTTATTACAGTGTTCCTCTGGAAATGCCTTGTGAAGGGGACGTAGCAGACATTTATTTCCACTGAGCAAAACCCCATGCTCGTGAAATTATAGATCAATGCCATGATCCATGCCCATGCCCGCCTCTCCTTATTTTCATATATACATGTTGCCCTCCCATGCCCCCTCCTCGCTAAAGGCTCCAAGTGTAGTGCAGGATTTGGAGCGAGCGGAAGCGATGTCTCCCTCTACCGGAAGCTGAAAAGGACCGCTATTTTTCACAGGCCCATCCCCCTGACGCATCTTCACTGAAACCTTCCGACTCTCACTCACATCAGGGAGAGAGCGCCTGTTCGTGTGCACAAAAACATGGCTTCGCCGAGGACAATAACCATTGTTGCCCTTTCTTTTGCGTTGGGTCTATTCTTCGTTTTTATGGGAACGATTAAATTAACACCGAGGCTAAGCAAAGACGCATATAGTGAAATGGTAAGTATTTCAAGATGGTAAACGCATGCTTGAAATGCAAGTATTTTGGTAAAAAAGCCATTGTTCTGTGATGATGCAGACGCCAAAGGCTTTCATGCTCAAATAATGTGCGGAGACGCTGACCTAAATAATGGCAGATATGGAAGATGGGCTGCTTTTTTCATTTAGACGACTGTTAAGGATTTTAATACTTTACTTACACACACAACGATATGTTTCCACAGTTAACAGCAAAACATAGGTTATACTGTACGTGGATGGTGTCCAGTGTTTTGGACTTTACAGAGAAAGGATCCATCTGTGTCCTCATAAAAAAGGATATTTGCTTGACCACCACACATTTAGAATGATCCGAAAATGGGCAAATATTAAGACACAATTGCTTTGTTCAAGTCATCAGGTTTACAAAACGCAAAAATAACTGAATGTTTGCATAATATACTTCAAAGCTTTATCCCTTTGCTACCGTATCGTTGAATCAACTTGCAGCTGACAGTAATGGCGGCCCATTCGAGCACATTCTGTGGGATGCACCTGCCGCTGGTGCTGATGTTGAACTGGACCATGGCGTGATACTGAATCATGACAAAGTGTGTCAAAGGATTTGTGTCTGCGTTCATAAGTTAAATGGGAAAATTGTGCAATATAAAGATATGTTCTCAAGACAAGTCCAAATGACTAACACTGTTTTATCTTTTTCTCTCTCCAGAAAAGAGCCTACAAGAGCTATGCCAAAGCACTTCCAGGTCTAAAGAAAATTGGCGTTAGCTCTGTCCTGCTTCGCAAAATCATTGGCTCTTTGGAGGTTGGTTGTGGTGTGGTGCTTACTCTGGTGCCTGGGAAGCCAAAGGATGTAGCTAACTTCTTGCTCCTGCTAGTTATGCTGGCAGTCCTCTTCTTTCATCAACTTGTTGGAGACCCCCTAAAAAGATATGCCCATGCTTTAGTTTTTGGTATTCTCCTCACTTGCCGACTTCTGATTGCCCGCCAAAGTGAGGACCGGCCAGAGAGAGAAGACAGCCGAGAAGAACAGTACCTCAACGACCAAGAAAGAAACAAAGTCAAGCAATCTTAAGCTTGTCTTCCACTTTGATCCAAGCCAAAATTGTGGACTGGAATAATGGGATTTTAAAAATATGTTTACAGTAAACAACTGCTTCTGAACACAAAACTTGATGCATTAAAAATCTGAACTATACTCTTTTATGCACCCAGTGAGATAATTGTTCATACATCCTCAGTGGACAATCATAGTTTAAACCAATTGCTCTTTCTGTCGGATCACTGAATTTATGCCCGCTTTTCTACCCTTTTTTTCCCCTGCTTTGTGTGTCATGATATTTAAATGGTATCCCTTTTAATGGAAAAATATATGAAGGTCTGTTAAAAGCCCACTTTGTGCTTTTATTTTGTAATGATTAAGAATATAGACCTACCACTACGTTCACGTGGCAGAGAAATAATACAAATGTTAATTTTTCAGTCTGCATGAATCTTAATTCCCCGTAGTAGGCTAATTTGGGTCTGGTTTCGAGTATAGATGTAAACTCACAGCTTGGCCTGTCTCACATTTGCTGCTAGCTTGTGCAGCAGAATCAACCAAATCTACCCTTTTACTTGTCAATGTGTGAGTCTGATCCTCCCTTGGTTTTAATTGTCTTTAATGGTATATAATTTCAATGTTTTTGTACTTTTCTTTCAGCATTCATTTTAGCATAGTAATTACATGAGACAAGCTTACACTGTCAAATTTCTAAAATACATAAAAATTTGTTTGAAGAATCAAAAATATGCTGTGAATTCTAGATTTAAAAATAAAGGATTTAAAATTAACTGACTCATCTGGCATTTCATGTGAAATCAGGATCTGTTAAAATGTGTCTACGTACATCTACATTGTACAGGTTTTGTTTTATTACCATTTTATTTTTGATTTAATCCTTTTGTTTGAATCATGTGGAACCCTTCAGCCCTTCAGTTCCGAGATGGGAACTACTATTCCCATCATGCAACGGGGAGGGGTACTACGCACGCGCAGAGTAAACGGTCGCGCGGAGGATTTGAGTTGTTTGAATGGCCGAGTGAGTCAGGTTAACGCAAAACTACTTTTAGCAATGTAGAGATGGCAGCAAAACTAAATTCGTCAGGAGCCTCGGATTCTGATCAGTCTCCAAGCGATCAGTCTTTGTCGAACCGCAGCATTTACCGAAGTCTGAGACTTGCAGAAAAAGAGAAAAGGCAAAACGAGGCGGAGAACTCATTTGGTCTCGCCCTGAAGTATTTTAGCCAAGGTAAGAGTAACCACGTAAACACGATCTATACTGGGGGCTTGTGAGCAATATAAAGTCACTATAACAGAACGGCTGCGCTTGTTTTTGTTTACCAACTGCGTTATGTAGCGGGGTACGTTTAGCACAACGTTTCTAACGCTAGCCTGTAGCTAAAGCTTTGTTTACTACGAGTAATGCAGTGGGTTTGTATGTAACAGAGCCTATACCAGTGCCTCATAAAGATGTTTGGATCCCCCTTTTATCTAATGCATTTCTTGGACAAACATTATCACTCATTGACTTTTTATGACGGTACAAGAAGCAAAAAGAATAACACTAATGTATTGTTTATTGTATTTTACGTGACACTGCGTGTCTTTGTCTTAACCGTGTCCCTTCATGTTTTCCGTATCAGTTAAAGCAGGGACCCCACTTCTGGGAAATGATGAGTTTGAAAGAAATCTCGTGTATGTGGAGAAGATGGCCTACAGTAAAGGACTCCATCCAGAGGCTGTATCTACAATGCTGGAATTTGCAATGAGCTGTCGATTGGGTAAGCTTTTCTTAAACAATGCCAAGACTGCCTCTTGTTACCACAAAAAAAAAAAAAAAACAGTTCATGAATGTAATATGTGTTTTAGGAGCATCTCCATGTGCTCGAGTACTGAAGTGCCTAATTCCCTCCAGCGTGGTGCCACAGGAGGCTGTTGTTCGGGCTGTGGTTTGGCTGGGAATTAGTAAAATATCTGTCAGCACACAGGTAATGGTAAATGGTGAATGGTCACATTTTTCTATAGCGCTTTTCCCCCTTCAAGGCTCTCAAAGCGCTTTACAACAAGGAACCACTCACCCATTCACACACACATTCACACACAGTGTACGCAGACACTGTGGGCAAGGTGGGTTAAGTGTCTTGCCCAAGGACACAACGACAGCATTCATTTGTGGGAGCTGGAATCACACCAGCCGACCTGTAATAATGACCAGATCATTTATTCATTCATTCATTTATTTGAGACAGGGACAGCGTACAATTTTTACGTTAACCTTTACAGGAGAGATGCATTGTACCAGGTCGTAGCACCCGTGCTAATTTCCATGGGCAGATTCATTGATTGATTGTATTAAACTGAACTTGGCTATCAACTGTTCTTCCTGGAGACCTATGTAGCATGTTTTGGGTTCACTTACCATACTTTTATTTTGCATAAACTTCCACAGTGGCTCACTGGTCAGAGTGCTCTTTCATCAACCCTGACCAGTGGGTTCTGTACTCATTGTACACACACTGCTGTAAGAGTGATGAATGATTGTGTGTATTTGTGAGAGTGAATGTGGGACAATGGATAGAAATTGGCATGTTTACACAAACAAACAATAAAATAATTGTATAAGTCTTTTCTAAATGCTTCTTTGAGTGGGAATGTATTTTGTACACCTCAATTATTTTTCTTGTCTAGATTCTGTTTGTGAAGTGGGTGTTGACGATGTTTGACCTGATTGATGCAAAGGATCAGCTCCGTTCTATTTATGGCTTTATCTTTAACTTTGTGACTGATGAAAATCTGGTATGGAATACATTTTGACTTTTTTAATGACCAATACAAACTATTGTATGTGTATATATTTCTCTTAATAATAATCAATAATATATTAACTTTTTAGTGTCCATTTATATGCCATCTTCTGTACCTATTGACACGAAAAGAAAGTGGTAAGTTGTACTTGTATATTTTATCTTTGTTCAATACCATGTCAGCAATGTTATGAGTATTCTTATTGCAGTGCGGGTTTTCCGAGTTCGAAAACTTTTAGAACTTCAGTCAAAATTGGTAAACGTATTATCATCATTAATTTTTTTTACAAACTTATACGTTTTTCTTTGCTTATACTTTCTCTAACCTGCTTCAGGGAAGGCAGCCTTTCCTTTTGCACTTACTTTCTCTTTATAAAGTGTTTTGCCCTGAGTTGGTGACTCTCTCCATTCCGTCACGAATGAAGGTTTGTATAAAAAGCCGAGCAGTTTGTGGATCATTATTATTTTATCATTCATTTCACATTTGAGTTGCACTCACTATTGTTTTTCAGACTGGTTTTAAAAATCACAATACTCCTTGGAAATCTGCTCTTGTTGGTGTCCAGAAGAGGAATGGCTCTGAAGTTTCCCCCGGCATTAGTCTTACAGTCTCTACATCTCGAAAAAGGGTAAAGACAGTTAGGACTGGTTATTGCCAACAGCTGTGGTCATTACAGTGACTGTGTAATTTTGTCAGCATTATTTTAGTTAATTTTGTCATTTTCCTAGAAACATGGCCACATGGACCTGCCCGTGCTGGTGCCTGCTGTCAATAAACAGACATTGCCTGAGTCTTCTCTCAGCAGAAAATTGGTCCCTTTGGTGCAAATACAGTCATTTGCTCAGCTGCTGGAAAATGTACACCAAATAGAGGTAATGAGATAGAGATGTGTAATGACTATAATTGGGTAATTTGTTTTCTAACAATGTATTGGTGCAAACGCTGTGTTGAATCCTTTAAACCACAGGGTGGTGCTGCACAACTAATTTAAGGCTTTGGTTAAGGCGTACTGGTACATATTAGCCAAAGGCTAACACAAATAATACATAAAATAATAAATCCATAGATTCAGTGACATATGAGGTTAATAAGTTCTGTATGCATTGCTTTGAAAATTGGAGTGTGCGTTAATACTCTGAGCAAAAGAAGTGTTCATATTTAATTGTTCAATTGTTCTGGAGAATTTCCTTCAGAACCATTTGTGGTGTAATAGAAATATATGCATTAACATGGTTTCTTCTGTCCCTAGTTGCCTGCCCAGATGGGTTCTTTTCTGGGCTCCAGTTTGGCTCTGCAGTATCTGGACTGTTTACAGGATGAGTCTGCCCTCCTACGCCTTAACTTCTGGCTAGGTTATGCACTCCACGAAGGTAAGGGGGAGAAAGAAAGAAAACTCCTACAACATGTCTGTGGCATCTTCTTTAAGGAGGATGTGTCCACACCAGAGCTGACCTTATGCTGAACCTGTTTACCCTGTGCTTAGAAGAAGCTCCTTTCTCAGAAGGGTTTAAACACACTCTGGAAACCTCACAGTGGAAGGATGCTCTGAATGTGAAATTGTGTTTTCTTTTTTTCTTATGTGTACCTCTTCCTTTCAAGAATTCCTATTCTTCAGTGATGGAGGAGGATCCCAGAATTCAGAAGAGGCCCAACAGTTTTTAGACAAATTACTGTCTACGCAGCACTTTCTTCAGGTAAGTCATATTTCACTCAGTAACAGTGACATCTGTTTATTTACTGTAGCAATTACTTGTAATTATCGTTGACAGGAAGGGTTTTCCAGCACCGAGGCTTTTTTGTTCAAATTTCTCAATGTTTGGGACGGAGCCTTGATGCGACCTCAAATCCTGGGTCTTATGAGTAACATTCCAGTTATACCAAGTTCACGTAAGTTACACTACCATACAGCTTTACCAAATCTCTACATTTATGTATTTTTACTTTTTTATCTTATTTTATCACACATTAATAAATATTTCTGGTACTGCACCTGCATTGGCTATACAACTAGAAAACAGCATTTGTTATTTTAAATTTGTTTGTTATTAATAGTGACTGTAACTATGTAGAAATGAAATTGTTCTATTCTTTTACAGAAATTGGGCAACTTTTATTTGAGCCTCTTATGCAGCTTTTCTTTACATCCTCACTATTTTTTAAGGTAAGTCTTTTAATAATACAGATAAGATTTATTTGATGCACACTACATTGAGTAGTTTTAATTTGTGACTTGGTGGATGTGGTTGTCACTGTCTGGGTTTAGTGTGGATTGATGGAGTGTCTCAACAATATGCTGTTAAAATGGCTGATGTGGCACTCCGTTTATGCCTTGGAGGATGACTTGGACATCAGCCTGAATAGTCATACGTCAATGTAAGTGACTTTTGTCAAATAGTCAAAATATACATCATTTACCAAAATTTTTCAAAGAGGATCATTAGTAAGTATTAGTAAAAGTAAGTATTTTTCTTCTTACCACAACCATGCTCATTTTGTCTCCTCAGTAGACTTTAATTATGTGTGCTAAATTCTTCTACAGACATTAGTATTACACAATTACTTTGTATAGTATTACTTTAACAGTTAATTGACTTTGTGTTCTTTTTTTTTTTTTTTTAGAAACATTACATTGTCAGGATTTAAGAACTCTGTGATGGAGCTTGTACATTTTGTGGGTCGGCTTGCCTCTGTAGGACTTCAGGTTGAAGGCTGTCATTCACTCTTTCTCAGCTTTGTTTTGGACTTCTATGAAACGGTAGATAACATAACAGTGTATATTTAAACACGTGAAGCTGTGATAATTGTCTAATGCTGTGCATTTTGTATCAAAATTTTGCAGGTGTGTGACATGTTTCTTAAATATGGCCTTCCTCTGGTGGTGATGCCCCCACCAGGTGTTTTTTACCCAGCACTCTTTGCAACTGACCCTGTGAGCATTGACAGACTGGCCTACATTATGTACAGGTAGATTACCTCTTTCAATCTGGGTGGCACTAGATTCTTAATGCAACCCCAGCACATTTAATGGCATATGTCATATTTATTCATTTTTAATGCTGAACAGAGCTGGAATCAAAGGGCGTGATTGCACTTACATTTAATGCATGATTTATGATAATGAGAAGCCAAGACTGAAGCTGTGCACTGCTTTTATGTCAGAATCCAACCTTACCTATAACTCTCCTAAACTCTTACCTATAATTGTACTATCCATCAACCATATACTTTCTTATAAACATGAAGTCAGTTCTACAAGTGAAATTTGGGGGGAATGCATAGTTTGATGAATTTAATTGTTTTCTGAACAGATACAAGATGAACCTGGTCTCAGCCAAGTATCAGGAGAAACGGGTGGAGGTGAGTTAACATTGTTCATTGTTTCAGCATTGTTGAACAAGTATTTTCTTCCCAATAATGTAGTTCTGCCTCTCTGAGCTCTTTGTATTCTCTTAGTGCAGAGGTGTCCCAACTACAACAGTTTTTGTTGGTCTCTTATGCGTCATGCTGAATTGGCCCCAAATGATCATAAGCAGAACTTTTAACTGCAAATGAACATACATTTTCTACTGTTGTAGTAATTTTAACTCTGTAAAATTAATGATGTCATAGTGTATTCTGACACAAAAATAATTTTTCCATGTCTTATTAAAAGGTGCAGTAGCTCTGTCATAGTTGTGTTAAATGCAGTCTGAAAGACCCAACTAATTGACTACCAATCAATCTCTGCTTCGAAAACATTAGAGATGCGATCCTCAGTGGAAAAAATTTGGACACCCCTGTTTTAGTGCATTATTAAAAAATAATGTAATACTTACAAATCAGTCTCATCAGTAGAGAATATGCCACACTGTCATTTTAAATGTCCCATTAAACACAATATACAATTAGACATTTGTTGCTTGGTAAATGCATATTACAACTGCAACTAACCAATTTTCTTTTGTTAACAATTTTCATTTTGCAGCAGGCCTTCCACATAAACCGACAGACATTTCGTGAGTTTAATCACTATGTGGTGCTGATGGTGAATTGTCTCTGGAATGCCAAGATGTTTGAACCGGGTACGTGCATTGAGCTGAGCGAGAAGCTGCTTCTCAGGAGCAATGTCCCCGACTACACAGCGAGCTTTGACCTCGCCCACCACCCTGCCTTTCTTAGCTACGCTGTGGACTTTCACCAGCAGGTAAGCACATTCACCTTAACAGAGGGTTATCTTATTCTACATTATAAGCTTGCTGGGTTTTATTTGTTAAAAAAAAGCTATGTACAAGAAATGCATGATGCTACTGAAACAGAATATGTTGTATGGGCTGGTCCTTTTACTTCGCATCAATATCTATTTTTTCCCAATGCAACACTATCCCTGTCTTATAAAATACAAAGCCATAATAAATAAATAAATAAATGTGACTTTGTGAATTGTGATGCACTTTCACTGCCACATTATACGAGCTCACTCAAAGCCCATTAATTCCTGACAAATGTAAAAAGGATTCAGATAGTTTTTTTCTTCATTTAAATGTTTATTAAAATGTATGAGACAAGTTTAATGTTGGCTGTATACCAAAAAGCCACCATCTGTAAGAATGGTTTTATCTTTCCCACTGTACACTCTGGTTAATAGACTTATACCGAAGACAAATGTGTTATTAATGTGTCTTTCATTCAAAATACATTAATACTGAAAGAGAGTGTATTATTGATGGAGGCTGCAGGAGATGGTGATTTTCATCACGTTTAATATTACACGTGCATGTCCTTTTTTGGATTCTACCAAACCTACTGCAGTGATGTTTTGAGATTTACACTGGTGAGGAAATAATTTATCAATGTTTTCTTTGTTTAGTGTTGGCCCAAGAGAAAGGATATGGACCTCAATTCCATAAAGGTACAGTTAATCTACTTACATTTCACAATTATGTGTCATAACAATAATACCAACACACATAAAAATATAGTTAAGTTTTAAGAAATGGTCCATAATGTGAAAGGTTTCAAAGGCAGTCAGCTGGACACTTTAATGATTTCCAGATCGCAGTTGAAATGTCTCAAAAAAATGTCCATGTGACTACCCTTTGAAGCCTTTCCTATCATAAAACCTGATATGTTTGCAGAAATGCCTCTAGTTCATCGTTTTAAGTTCTTTGTTACAATTTTGTCAAGATTTGGGCTCAAATGCATGCAACTGTTCTTTAGAGCATCAGCTATTGTCATAAATTGGACACATTCAGACCGTTTGTGAATAGTCTTAGAATTACATTAATCTTCATCAGAACTAGTATAAGACCACATGGGAATATCAAAGAAATTGCTAATATGTAGTGCTATCTTGGTACATAAGTCTTTAGCATGATGACAACTTTAGCCTCAGTGTATCCCATAAAAAAGCCTACAGTACTTGTTTTAAAAGCTAACATTGTCTTGACTTTTTTTTTTTTTTTAAAGCAATCTAAGGCATGGGGCTGGTACCTGGAGTTCCTCTACTCTCAGGGATTTGATGGCCTTAAACATTTTGTTGAGAGTAACATCACCTGGCAGGTGGATAGAGGCGGCACCCAGGGAGACGCAGTGACCACAGAGACGCGGTAGAGATACGACTCAGTGGAGACACAACCCACTCGAAAGACTTGTAAATTTTTCTAGCCACCTGCTATTTATCTGGACATATGTTGTAAATATTTTTTCCTCTTTTGTCTTTTTAACAATTTGTGTGATATGCTCTGCTCCCTGATTTTGTGTACATGTACAGTCACTAAAGAAGAAAAATGTATATAAATAGCAACAAAACAAATAGTTCTGTTCTGTACCTTTGTTTTTAAATGTTCTTAACCACAAAATAAATGTGACTGAAACCACTCAAACCTTTAATTTTAGCTTCCCATAACCCTGTGTTGCCTATGTAAATCTCCCTATTCATGTTTTATTGTCTCTTACACTTTTTAAATAAATAACTAAGATTTTAATGCAAATAAACATACATTTATACATTTTTCTGTGGTCAGACTCTAAAGGTTATCAGAGGTTCTACATATTTTTATTCTGAAGTACTGACTGAGGAATAACACCTTAACTCGTAAAAGCATCTACTTTTGAATTGTCCCACAATACCTTTGTTGTCTATAATTGCTTATAAAAACTGTTGCCCAGTGATATGACATGATTAGGACATCAGCCAAGGATCAAGACAAGATAGTCATTGTATTTGGGCTACTTGTTTTTGATGCTTAACTAATATTTCCCTAAAAAGGAACATGCGTTATACTTATCTCTAATACTGACATTTTATCCCCCGGGCAGTTCGTTGGCGTTGGCACACTTCCCTGCCCCCTCCTCCCACAAGCACCTCTCACTTGACGCAGCCCAAGTTTCCCTCCTCACGTCCCTCACTTCTGGGCGCATTATTTGTAGACTGTCGCTCGCACGCTCCAGATGAGACTGTTGCTGATGCAAACGCGCGGAGCCACCTTTAAGCCTCTCTCCGTGATGTAAAGCCCTCAGACGCGTTGCTGCGCTACTGAAGCCGCTGCTCTTCTCACTTTTCCTCTGCTCTTGTCATGTGTCTACCGCGTTACTGCTCGGGAGTAGCTTATTTCTGTCCCTTTATGGCGGACATCCATCCCACGTGCGAGTTTTCCACCTAGAACCTGAGGATCTGCCGCGGGAATACAAGGTAAGTCTAAACTAAATTAGTCTCGTTTACGGGGAGATGTTTTTTGTTTGTTTAACCCTGTTGGCAAGGTTCAAGACAAAATAATGGATCGACAGCGTGACATTGGTTTAAGATTTAAGTGCCCTTCCATAGTGTAATTTGATGGTATCCTGACTGCCCGCGCTGCTTTAGTTAGTTTAGAATTTTATCATCCTTTAACATGTAGTGGCGCCTTTTGATGGACTGGAGTTCTTCATGAAATAGAAGATGCTCAACTGGGAAATTCGTGTGAAATATTTGTTACAGCATTTGTTACCTTCTAGTGTCACGTGTGTTCTATAACAATTAATAAGGTTCTTAGAAATGAAATTAGCAGAAGTGGATTTAGTGACATTACGCACGGTGAGGCAGTCTGCACACACCAAAAAATACCTGCAAGTTTTCCCCAAGTCGTGATTTTCTTGTGTGATAAAGTGGTAATTTCTCTGCTTTATCACTTTCGGTGAACACTGACGTGTGACAGCAGAACCGACCGAGTAGAGCCGGATTTGTACTCCAGGTTTCGCGTGTGTAGAGGCATACTAGACAACCACCCATTCTCTCTCCCTCTCTCTCTCTTTCTCTCTCTCTCTCTCTTTTTTTATATTTTCATTTATTTATTTATTTATTTATTATTTATTTATTTATTTTTGGAAAAGAATAAGTGGTGATAGGCATAGACTATTAGAAGAAAAGTGAATAGCCCAGTATAAGGAAGTATCAATTATGGTTATGCGTTATGCGCGGTAGACTACCCAAATCCCAAATCAAGTATCTTAAATGAGGGGACTGACGGAAGGCGGACTTGGCTGATGCGCAACACCCCCCACTCCCTTCTATAGTTGTGTGGGCTCTGAACATCAAAAGCATCACTCCAGTTCCTAGTCTTGACTGTTGGTTTTGTATAGACTTAAATCTTTGATCACACAATCAGTAGCCTATCTTAGCGTTTTTAGTCTAAGGAGAAAACTGTTCTTTGGTCTCACAGTCAGGAATAAAGGGGGGTAGACATCTGAGTAGGCTTAAAAGATGTTAAAAAGAAAACTGTCATTCATCTTCTCAAATTTTGTAATGTCCACTGGCAGTGACTAGACTCCAGCCTAACTTGGATAGGCTCCTCAAGTAGCCTGTTGACTTGATCCGTTTGGAAGGAAACATACCTGTTGTAAATCAGACTACAGTAAAACATTGTTAGCTGAATAATTATTAAGCCTATGTTGTTTAAATTAGACTCTACTAGACTAGACTTGCAGATAAACAGCAAATTTGTTGTAGTTTTGTGGCTGTGTTTTCATTTAGACTCGACACAGTACTCTAACCGTGAAAGACAGGATTGGTCCTTTATTACATTGTCACTGCTTCTCTCCATCTACATGCCTGCTGGTCATGTTTTACTATGCATTTTTAGCAGTCCCACCCCCTTCGTATTGTAAATCTTTATCCCTTTTTAATTCTGTTAACAAAATGATGGCAAGTCCATCACTGAACTAAGTTTGGTGCTTTGCTCGTACTGTGTCATATGGCTTTCGAGTACTGGGTCACTTAGACCTTTCTGTCTGGAGTTTGCATGATTTGTGCTCGTGTCTGGGTTGGTTTCCTCTGGGCACTTTGACTTCCCCTGTCAAGTCAAAATATGTACCTTAGGTAAAATCCTCAGCAACAATGCTCCTGACCAAGCCTAGCAACAAGATAATGAAGATGGGTCCCTGAGTGCTGTACAGCAGTAGCTCACTGCTTCTGACAGGTAGCCCCAGCAGCACTGGTTGATGGGTCAAATGCAGAGAATGAATTTCCCTCATAAACGTATAACTTACCTCTAGTTTGTGATGGTGGAAGTATCTTAGCATGTAGAGCAGTTGTCATCATTACTGTTCACACCTCCAAGCATGTGTACATTCATTAGTTTCTGCTTATTTGCAGTTGAATGGTGTATATGTGCGCAATTACTGTCACATCTCACCTGCCTTACAGCAGAACATAGAGAAGGAACTTATTCCGCTATAACTAATCTATATTTTAGTTATACTTTTGATTCATTTTTTTTTGTTTTTTTCTACGCTAATGTGGAGATTGCAATTTTATATGAGACCCCGCCGTGGCTTTTTTCCATTCTCTTCTTTTTAATTCAGGAGAGCGATCTGGAAATGTCATTCTCTGTTAAAGTCTGCCTAGGGTCTACTGTTAACTCTAGCGTTAAGAATTAGCTGCTGCTGGAGATAGCACAGCATGTAAGAATATCCCTTTTTTGCTACAAGAAGGTGATGCCAGGTCACTGTCTGAGATTGATATTGCACTTGTGACAGTGGTAGGATCTGTGCTGTAATGGTTTTGGACAGTGGCAGAGTGTACAAGTAGTGACCTCATCAGCCCTATGGAGTGGAGTGGTCAGAGAGCAGTTATGATTTAATTACAGCTGAACCCTACACTGACCCTATTGATGTCACCTTGGACCTTCACTGAAGCAGACAGGGAGTTAGACTGTGATTTACACACACATTTTATTACACTATGTTGCCAGATTGGAAGAGGTAAGCTTTGAGATTTGACTTAATGACTTTTTGGTGCAAAGCTATTTCGTGCATATCCATGGTAACTTTTGAAATGGTTCCTTTTCCGTAGCTTTATGTGGTTTATGAGTAATACAGGTAAAAATGTTTGAAAAAACAAAGAATGAATAAAATGCACTGGAAATAAAATGTGTTCCAATAAAAGAAGCACACTGGAACACATTTTTCATTTTCATTAAAAAAAACAAACAAACTGCAAAATCCTTTTTCCCAAAAACCTTTTCTAAAGTTAGATTTTTAACCTTTTCTTGGTGGACCAGTTTTGTATAAACTGTCTCATGAAGATTGCAGCTAGTGAAGTTTCAGAACTGAAACTGTTCTGCTTCAATTTCTACCGTTTCCATAGAGGACAGCAGCTAGAGAAGTGGGCTGGGAGATACTGTACATTCAGCAAACTCTCAGAACCATAATTAATTAATCTCACTGTCTGAAGGCCAATGGAAAGGACTGTGGGCAAGTAAGATTCATGTGTGCATTTGATTACATTATTATTAATGATGAATAAATGCCCATATTGCTTAATTTCACTTTTCTGGTGGAGGGTCCACCACTTGGTTGTTTTCTTTTTAGCTTGGAATTGTCATGAAATAACACTTATGTAACACCACGAAGAGTTAGATAAGTGTTGGTGCCACACGGTCAGGTTACAGGTCAGATCTGGGGAGAAGTGACTGTAATGTATCCTTATCCAAAATATTCCTGAAATTGAATAAATCAGCAAATTTTAATGCTTTTCTGTGGGACATTCCAGGCAAAGCAATAACATCTCCAAAGAGACAAGCAGGTAGTGGATCCTCTCTCCACCAAATATTTCCATATAGTGCCCCCTTAATTGAAAGGACCTAAATAAATAAACTAGAATTTTTATAAAGGTGTTATTTTTCAACCCATGCCAGTAATGTTGTCTTTCTTCACGTCACCAAGTGAGACATTTAGCTGTCCACTTTTCCCATTTCATATGATTTCCTCCTCACTAAATTGCCAATGGTCACAGCCCAAACACCCCTAGTCCGGCTGGTATAAAAATATCTCGTGTCTCCTGTCAAGTGCCCCCACATCCTGCTCTTGCCAGGGGCCCTCGGACAGGTGTGCTCAGTCAGCCTGCATCCCCCCTCTCCTCTCCATCATCTTCGCTGTGTGTTGAGGGATGGGCCCAGGGACAAATGGGACTACAATGTGGATAGAAAAGCAATTTGCTAACTCCATAAATTCAGGTACCTATCCTTGGCTGTGGTGAGTGTGAGCTATTATTTAGAATCTGGTAACCGATGTGTGCCTATTAGCATTAAATGGGCTGGTGTCTGGCGCGTGTCTCGGCGGACATGTTTAATATCGGTTATTTACGGGCTCTGAAGGTGGACCTTGTTCTGGTGCATGCGCTAAGGGGCAGTACTATATGTTTTATATGGCCCGGTGTGGTATTAAACCTGTGTAATATGTGAAGATGCCAGGAGAGAGTGTTGGGGTATGTTATCAGCATAAGAAACTGTCGTAGATGTAAATTAAGGAGCTCTGATATTATATTATATATGAACTCTCTCTACCATTCAAAAGATATAATATTTGGGTTTGAATTGCTATGGCAACAGTGCTAATTTGTCATCACTCTGAAGCTATGGCTCTATACATTTAGAGTACCCATTTATATTTGTCAAGGTTCTGTTGTTTTGTTGTTTTGGGTTCATTGCTTTTGAAGCTGTCCTTGAAAGATAAATCTGAGTCTTGTTAGAAGCAT